CCAATACACATCCACTCACTTTCGAATATGGCAGTTTGAAGTTTAAAAGCGTTTTTCACCTTGTTTTATTTTCAAAATTTATAATGTCATGTAACTCCAGATATATTTATTTATGTTTATATGTTGGATTTTTTTTGCTATCAAAGAGGTTAGACTTTAGGAACCGTTTGGTACATATAACTCATTTTTTGATAATTTTGTGGATTGGATCCTTTTTGCTTATCTACGTCCAATTGACAGGACGGGCTAAGCGACACGCCCATCCACAACAGTTGCAGTGCCACTCAGAGCTTTAAATCACAAAGATCTGAGGGGCACAGCCACTGCGCCCGCCGCCCTGAGACATAAGTTAACAAGTCCCACGTGCCTGTAATTTCAGACTGTCCTAATTACACCGCCAGGACATGGTTACAGTATTATTGTAATGTCATCGAGGCCAATTCTATTAATTTTAAATCACCTCATTTGCTTGTCGATATTGTCAATGACAGGCTTTTGTGAGTATGATATTCTGCTAAAATTTAAGAGTAGGGGATTGTCAGTGAGAAGCCATCATCGAACTGCCATTGCAATTTTGGGTATTCTGCTCTTCAATGGCGATTTGATGGCACGTCTATTATATAGTCTACTATTATTTTTTTTAAAGTCTATACTGTATCACTGCTGAGCAAAGGCCTCTCTCCCTTCTCCACATCTCCCTGTTTTGCGCCACTGAGATCCAGTCTTTTAGGTGCGCGTCTACCTCATCTCTCCATCGACGCTTTGGCTGCCGCATGATCGTTTTCTAAATTTGGGGATCCATTCTGTGGTGGCCTTTGCCCACGACTCGTCTGACATGCGGCAGATGTGACCCGCTGAAATGGGCTGCCATTTTAGTTCACCGGCTTGTTGGCCCACATCAACGATTCGTGTTTTGGAGCGCAGTCTCTGTTCCTGATTCGGTCTGACAATTTGACTCCTAGGATGCTGCGCGCCATAGCTCGTTGGCAGTCCCCAAGTTTCAACTTTTGCCGCGCTGTCAGTGACCAGGTTTGTGCGCCGTAGGTGAGGATGGGTAGAATGCACACGTCCATGAGTTTTCTTTTGAGCGTGAGTGGTAATCCACCTTTCATCAGATGTTTCATAGACCAAGAGCCCTTCAGTGCGTTTTGTGATTTCAGCATCTTGTCTGCTCTGAAAGGATACTACAGTATTTAATTTGAAGACTAAATTGCCAATTAAAATAGATAAAAATTAAGATGTGCATAATCATTTCCATTGTAGTTTTAGTAAGGCAATAATCAAAAAATCGATCGTTAGTGATTGAATGAACGAATGCCATCACTGACATTCCACTGACAATCTATTAAGTTTCAACTGTCATTGCAACTAGATTTTAGCAGAATAACAGACGTATAGCTGATCAGTAGTTAGAGGGAGCGATCCTAGTTAGTTCAATCGATCAAATGAACTAGGTCGGTCTTCTAGTTCATTTACTTCATCTAGTTCCTTAGTTAGTTAGTTCGTCTTGTCCTTGCTCGGACATTGAACGAACGCTCCAAACTAGTAATTTTATTCACGTGAACTACTACGGATTTCTAGTATTAGGAGGTATGTATAGAATCGGTACTATTTGATTTTCCTTCATATTTTACAAGTTTAAAGACTGTCATTCTAACAAAATATCCTTTTTTTTACAAAATAAGAATTATAGTTAGAATGGTGTTTCATATACTCGTACACGTAGGTTGATATTATACGTAAAGATACCTACCAAAAAATATTACTTTTTTGCAAGCTTGTGTACACACATAATGTAGATACGTATTAGAGACTTAGAACGAGTTGGCAACGTTCAATCGTGCATCCCACTCGAACTTGTACTAAAAGTAGTGAAGGATCGCTATTTGTCCCGCTCGCAGCGTTCCTACTGTATAAAAGACAGGTGAACGAAAAAGAACTATGAACTACTAAAACCGTGCAAGACGAACTAGTTCATGTCGGTCAGTGTAGGGAATATATTCCTAATAGTTCGTAGGTCATGAACTATACAAGCCTACAGGATAATGAATATTGTCATAATTGCAACATTAATCTCAGTGGAGTGGAATTACAATGATGAGTGGTTTCAAGAAAACTTGCAGAAGTGCAGACGTTTACCAAACTTTGCTTAGTACAATCCTGATTAAATTTTAACTTTCAAGTTACTACGATAGTGTTGTAAAAAACTCGAGTCCGGGAGTCTACATTTTAGGACTCTACTCCAAATCACAAGACGCGACTCATAAAGACAGAGACTCACTGCTCGAAGTATTAAAAATGTATCGAGTTTCTAAGTAGACTCGAGTTCGACATTAGTGCTCGAGTCTATTTATGTAACGAGACGAGCTCGAGTCTAGTAAGTATACCTACTGAGCGGTGTTGTGTTGTGACGTGTTAAACAATAGTATAATTAAACATTATTTTTGTTTTATATTTAATGCGTCGGCATTAATAGAGTTTCAATAAAATTGTACCCTGCTTGTCGTCCTCGCAACTTTGTAGTGCGGAAGTCGCTTTGAGAAGAGTTTTCGAACTCGAGTTTTGTTCAAACTTGAGTTAGCTTTACGACTCGAGTCTTGTGTTCCGATGACTCGCGTTGGACTCGTGAGTTTTTTTAGGCCACCGAGCCGTGCAAAATTGAGTCGAGCTAATAAATGTAGACTTCTGGACTCGAGTTTTTTACAACACTAAACTGCAATATCGCAGACAGGCAACATACAAAGACACAGATACACAGAAAAAGGCACCCCATTTACTAAATGTTAAAAGCTTAGATTATTTCATGCTGATTGTAACAAGTTTACAAGTCATTAAAACCCACTTAAACTTACAAGTTATAATAACTATTAAACACAGTTGTCGAGTATAACCTATTACAATACCATTTTTAAACATTATCACAATTTTATAAAGCGCTGGTTTTATCATTCAACTTTATAGTAACCTTTGAAAACTCAGTTTATGTTTATTATCGTAAAAGAAAGGTGAATGAACGTACGACGGCCATTTAACTACTTACAGCGGCATCTCTTGACGTTTCTTGCGGACTAGTTCGGACGGTTCGGTCGAGCGTATTGTCATGTAGTACGATCAATTTACGGTAGATGGTGGTAGAGGTGTGTTTATGACGTTTAAATGATTTTAATTTTTCAATTTTTTGTTACAGGTACATGAGAAGTTTTATTCGAAAGAATTCGCAGGAAAGGGGTAATTCAATAACTTTTTTATCTTTGCCTACGCAATAGGAAACTTTTTCAGCCTATAAAGGGGTTTTTTAATTGTAGGTTTGTTTTATCAAAATACTTTATTTACTTCAACATATTCGGATGTACCACCGACGCATTACGATAAATTTATCCACTTTCATCATAAATAGATAACAATTCTTCATTACCGAAACCATTTTAATCAAAACTAATACTATTATGTTTATTACACGTAGCTTCAATATAAACTTGTCAAGCTGCAAAAACATTTAAATACGTTTTTAACCGACTTCAAAAAATGAGATGGTGCTCAATTCGAATATATTTTTATTTATTTTATTACGCGATTGCTACGACATTCGTGATTCGACCTCAATAGTTGCCCCATTCAAATTTAAAGAAAATATTCCACATCTAAAGGTGGCAAATTAGGGGTGGCAAATTATGAATCCGGTTTATTGGATTTCACCCCCTTTCCGTTAGTCAATTTCAACAAAACTTGGCAAATAGATGTAACTTTTAAAGTCGATTTTGTTCATAAAAAAACAATTATTGTCATTATTGACGTCAGGACCCTATATCTAATTAATAATAACCATAGATTTAGTATATAGGTACCCAATAATAACTAATATTGAATATCAAATAAACAAATCGACAAATTATACAGCAAAAATTATCATAGTCATGTATAAAATATTCTAATAAACAAGAAATGATTTGCTAATTCTTGAAAACACATTTGATAATGTTGTCAGTTTTTTAAACCGTTTTTTTCCTACCTCATCATCATTTGTGTACAAATTGGTAGGTGTAAAAACGAAACACGTGTATTCAACGTTAGGTTTATTCGAGGCTTTTCAATAAAAACAAATTAGTTTTATGAAACAGATCGATGTTAATTAGCAATACGTGAACAACAGTTTTTGTTTTCGTTATACATTTTGCTTTACATACATTTCATATGATCGCAAGCGATTATTGACTTTGAAAACTCGTAATAAGTACCTACCAAGGCTTTCAGTCTTCCTGCTTTCCGCGTCCCGGGAAAAAATAGAGGCTCGGGGCGATTTCAAAAATCCCGGTAACAACCAGACTTTTGAGAAATTTAGGTTTCCATATTTATAGGCTAGGATATTTTGAGAGTATAATACTACCTCAAATAGCTTTGCATGACTCCGCAGAACAGTGAAAGTGTTAAAGTTTAATCAATCACTTGGAATAAATACATCTAGTAAAATTGAGTATATCCTCAATGGTATAGTAATAAGTGTATATACACTGATTGTGTATATACACTGATGTGTCCACCTCTCGGCTCCTTATGTCATAACGTATAAAAACGTAGCAATAAAAACGATTTAATTCTGTTCAATTAAGTTACTTAGTCTCAAACATTGACTTACAATTATATGGACGTCGGATCCACGCTAAAAAGTGTCCGAACTTATAGGGCGTTAAAATCGTATACAGAGCATCATTCACGCTTTAGTCTTCGTTTGTTCGACAGACAGCGAAACAAGCAAAATTAGACAGTACTGCGATGACATTACAATTTAAATTCAATGTTTTAGCTTTTTCATATTCCTTTACATGTCACTACGTTTAAATAGGTTGACTTGGGACATTTTTTTCGTGGTTTTTGTATTAGACCCGTCGTCCATTTATTTGTAAGTCAATGGTCTCAAAAGTCTACATTAACGAGACTGAAAACATCAGTGTACAGTTTCGAAAATGTCAAACAATCGACGAGATTTTCGAGCTCGAGAATGAAAACCCTAGTAACAACCAACAATGTCAAATCAAATTCTTAATGTTATTTAAAGTCACTACTCCAGTTACTTCTTCTTGTTTTCAGCTTCGTCTTTCTCTTTCTCGATCTCATTGACGATGCTGCTGATCGCATCTTGGTTGAGCATTTCCACAGGTTGGTTGTTCCGCATCACTGCTACCTACAAATTAATAATGGTCACCCAATAACAGTCGTCAATGAGAATTCATCAGTTATCATTCCTACGCTATCGTTAGAGTGACATTCCATTGATACAGAAAGATAAACATTTTTGGCTTACATAATTGAACTGCATGGCTGCAATAGTAAAATAGAATTACATGGTAAGTCAAATTCTTGCGGTGTATATCCCTAATTGATGCTAAACAGAGTAACAACCATGCGCTCGACCTAATAAATAAGGTTCAATTTTCCAAAACAAAAATGGAGATCCTGATATACGTAGGATGACTTCGAAATCCAAAAACCAAGCGCATCCAATGTTAGACTTTATTAACATTGCAAATAGGGATTAACTTATTGTCCCGATGTTTCAGTCAGCCCGTGACCGCGGCTGGCACGACCTGGCGGAAATTAGGTGTAATGTAGGTTTAAAACCGTATTCTCGGATCTAAGTTTATAAGACGGTAGAATTACAGACCGAAAAACAATTAGACGGTCCATTTAATGAAAATTGTAACTGCTGAGACCGTTCTGATACTAATTAAGTATTTTTAATGACTATAACGCCTTAACACGAATTCGACTCTAGCTCTAAAACGTTTCTTACATGATTTTGTACCTTACAAGGCGTGACTCGTTAACACTATTCCCTTCTAAAGTCTAGAAAAGATCTTACTACTATTTTGTAGTATATTATTACCTCTAAATTCCTCTGCCCGGACTGTACAACCTCCAGTAAAGCTTTGATAGCCAACTTTACAGTCCCTCTTTCAGTAGCTACGATGTCGTTGTTGAAGTTCTGCTCGAGAAATTCACGAACCGTCTTGTCACAACGTCCTGTTGCGCTGGCCTGGACAATTGGCCAAAAAAGGATTGTGAAATAAAATCATTTTGTCAACAAGTCCCGAACTACGGAAAGACTACGCTCGTTAGTGACCAGGTTAAAGCCAAGAACATCTTGAAGTTTACATTAAGTTGAAATTAAAACTTGTGCCTAGCTTGCTCTTTACTGTATCACGTGATAAAAGCTCCTAAACATCCCATATATTTTCAGAAAACCAAAAACTGAGTTTACCTTCCATTCATAATAAATTCCTGAAGGCTCAGTCTGGAACAAATGCGGCTGCCCATCATGCGTGTCAAATCCACCGATTAAACATGACATGCCAAAAGGCCGCCGTCCATTGCTTTGTGTGTATTTTTGTTTCATCTCAGCTATGTAACGCGTTATGTACTCAACGGAAACTGGGTCTTCGACTGTGAGGCGGTGGGATTGGCATTCTATTTGAGCTCTGAAAGCATTGACTTACAAATAAATGGACGACGGGTCTAATACAAAAACCACGAAAAAAATGTCCCAAGTCAACCTATTCGAAATTTAAATTGTAATGTCATCGCAGTATCGCGCTGTCAGTCGAACAAATGAAGACTAAAGCGGAGTTTGGCGCTCTGTATACGATTTTAACGCCTTACAAGTGCGGACACTTTTTAGCGCGGACCCGACGTCCATATAATTGTAAGTCAATGTCTGAAAGATATAATTTCATAAGTAAATGTATTAAATCCTCTCTTTAAGCTAGGAAATGCCAGATTTCCAGACCAGCAAAAGACAACCCTGTGTGTTCGGCATTCTGCCTTTCCAGCGTTTTGGTATTAACTCTAATTTCTACTAACCATCAGTCTTTTTGCCAGTCTTTTTGCTTATTGCCAGAAAAACACTTTTTCTGCCAATTATGTTAAGCGTTTGACTGATAATTAGCTGGTAACGCTACCAAGACATTGACGACTAATTAGTAAAATAATCTCAGTACAGAGTACTAAAAAAACCGACCTCAAAAGTACGTGGAATTACGTCTATTTGCTAAGTTTTATTGAAATATCCTCTAGTTCGCCAGTAGACAGGACTTGACACTGGAGATAATAAAAATAGGTTCTCACTACGACACTACACAAAGTATATTGAGAGAAAAACGCCTTGAATTGAAGAAATAGCAAAATCAACTATTAAAGTAATCGCTCTAATTGAAGTTAGGTGCTATTTATAAAAATGAATCTTCATGCGTGAACAGACACCCTTCGAGGTGGATGATTTTCTTCAAAATGAAATGGGACCACTATGGAAGTACCCCCTTTCCAACAAAAAAAGAATCATAAAAATCGGTTCACAAATACCGGAGTTATCGCGTAACATACATACAAAAAAAAAGAACATACAGTCGAATTGAGAACCTCTTCCTTTTTTGAAGTCGGTTAAAAAGAGGTTTAATCTGCAACATTCAGCCAGAAATACGAGTATATGATATCAATACCACAGGGCTATCTTTCGCATTACGTGTTTAACCTACTGACGGTTTAAAAAGTAGGTCATAAACAATTAATCCATAATTTAGAACATTCGTGAGGTCAATGGGGCTAAACATACCGTGTAATAAGCACCCTAGCATCAGCTCTTAATCCAGCAAAAGCCATAACAACATGTTCATCCAAACCAACGATTTTCTTTTCAGTTCGTTCTTCCTGTAATTTAGCAACAGACTTCTTTTCGACAGCCAGAACTATGCATGTCTTGCCTCTAATGCCGACAACAGCTGATCCCTTTCTGACTGCTTCTTGCGCATATTGCACTTGGAGAAGTTGACCATCAGGGGAAAAGACTGTGATTGCTCGATCGTAACTTGACATATTGTTTTTGAGGAACTTGAGATTCCACAAAGGTTTTTAAGTATGGAAGAATGATTTTCAAGCGGTTTTTTAGCAATAGCGTATTATAGAAATATAATTACGACATACGCCTAAAATATATTTCGTTATGTCAATGTATCTTTGACATACTGTAAAAACAAAATTTCTCTATGGTGTGGTGAAAAAGTTTTTATGCGAAAACAGGTATGGCAAGATATTTAGACTATTTTAGACACAGTATATAATTGTAAGTCAATGTACATCGGGCATAAGAACTATAAACACAAAAACAGGTTCACAAATGAGGCTCATAATATTTACATATGTATTTACCGTGTACATATGTAATCCGTCTAAAAATATCCGTTACTATCATAGTAATGTTCTCATAGTAAATATTACGTAAGACATTTACTTTGTTTTGCAAACTTCAAAACTGCGGTTGAGAAAATATAGAACTGCTGTATGTCTAAAATCAAGCAAGCTTTGGAACCACGGAGCGAACAACGATACTGATAACTATTTCTGAAGTTGGTCGAAACGCAGCAACACTAGCAAAAATCGATAATAATTAAGATTAATCGATATTTTATGGATTCGAGACCCAGATTAAGGATAATGTGTAAATAAAGGTCAGGTCAAAAATACCAGAAATTGATGCGAAAGCACGAAATAAAAGAGGTTTTATAAGACTAAGGCTCTACTTAACCGTAGCGAAGAACTACGTTATAGGAGTCTTAAAATGTTTTATTTGTTTAAGGAAATGAAGAGTTAAATGTCAAAATAGAATACACCAATGGAAAAAAGGACGAGCTGTCTTTTAATCACACCTAGCTCAGGAGTTTAGTCTATTCTTGGACGACGAAATGGAGGCGCAAATGCTACTTGTGCTTGTCACTGTGTTCAGAACATTTGTGGTTCCTAATGCTGACTTTGCTTGTAGTTGCGGAAATAAATATATTACTATCGAAATTCTCCACTTTAATTTGTGAATTCATCAGGAGAATTCATTAGGTCGTCGGAGAGGCTGTGATCCACGTTCTGAATCTTACTTGGTGCATAAATTTCATTGGCCATTCAGTGCGGTACGACATTTGAACTAGCTAAGATTCAGAGCGGTTCTTTTTCATTGTAATAGTTGCTTCGTCATATAAAAAAATATTAATTTTTAAATTTAAAATTATTATTATTTTAAAATTATTAATTTTTATATGACGAAGCCTGTTGCTGGTTTAATTTGTGTCTTCCAGACGAAGCCTACGTTGCGGATTGACTTAATTATCTAATTAATCTAGGTTTTACATGAATTGAATTGTATTGTAATAACAAATTTTTCGTTCACTAAAATAAAAATTAGATGTTTATTTGTCAACAAACACACGTCTGGAATCCCCGATTACATTCTGCGATGCAACTTGCGATCAAAATTGTAAACAAAAAAAAAGCGCCATTACAAAAAATGTTTTCAGAATTGTGCAAACGTAAAATAAATCTGTCTAGAAAAGTTTTACCAGTCATGGTCTTATTTTACCATTATGTTGATTAAACCTTTAGTAATGGTTATCTTTTGCCATTACTAAAATAAACGAAGTTGTTTCAAACAAATCACATATCCTGGTAAGAATGTGAATTGCTGCGTTTGATTCTCTAACTATCGTTCACATAGACTGCAACCGATACTTGTAGTTGAAGTCACAACTGCACGCAGTTGAAATCATGACTGCACGCATTAACTGCAGACATTCAGTCCATCCGTTAGCAACCTTACCGTATAACATATTACGCAACGGACTTGAAGGCTCCTAGACCACGGCTCACCGGGTTCAGACGCTACAGGACACCTCCGCCACTGTAAATAATAATAACGCACACACCCATAGCCCTGCACTAGGGAAACCTGTGCGGGGCTGTAGTCTAGCTACTCTAGACTGAAAACTCATTCGCAGAACCAGTGGGAGAGAAATTCTCAGTATTTCTGTGAAGAAATGGGAAGAAAATACCAATAGTTGTGTAAAAAAAGTTTGTTTAGTTTTGTTTTTGTCGTTCGCCTGGTGGTAAGCGAAACGCCTATCCATAACAGTTGCAGTGCCATTCAGACTTTTAAATCGCAAAGATCTTATGGGCACTGCCACTGCGCCCTTCACTCTGAGCCATAAGTTAACAAGTCCCATGTGCCCGTAATTCCACCAGCACCCTTAGCCTTCAAAACCGGAACACAGTAATGCTGACATTACTGCTTTCACAAGCGACGAACGAAGACGAACTCTTTCACAAGGAACTAGTAGAGCTACTAAGTACCAGTACTTCTGTCAACAGAACTGTACAACAGAACTAAGGAATAATGATGTCGCTGGTGCCATGGACACACACATAGAACCACAAATTACGCCCAAACTCACGAATAAATGTAGGCCATACACTTTATATATATACATTTATCTCCCGGTCGGGGAATCGAACCCGGGACCTCTGCATGGCAGACCAGCATGGTAACCATTTGGCTACTGAGGCAGTTACAGGCACGGAAGAGTAAACGCAGATACGGTCCCCCGTATCTGCGTTTCGTAGTTTTTTTGGAATATTATAGATGATTGTCTTGAAGTCTCTCCTTGTTAATTATATAACCAAGTATTTATGTATACCTCCGTGTTTAAACACTTCGTTATCTAATATTTGAGATGTACTAAATGTGCTAATTGATGATGACATTCTTCGTAGTTACCGTTTTATTGTGTACATTGCCTTTTTTATCTACAATAGAGTAACAATGTTGAGATCTAAATTTATGTACGTTGAATTTGTCACTCATGTATATTGTAATCAAAGTCCAAAAAATGGTGCTCGATTTATTTCCTAATATACTCTTTTACCACTCGATTCGAATAGTCCCTTTTGACTAAAACGAGTCTCTCAGGATTAAGGAGGAAATCTCAAAAGTTTGTGAAATAATTACATCCAGAAAAGTGGTCTGTTTTCTATCGGATACATTTCGGGGAGTGTGCGCAGGAACTTTTCAATTTAGTTCCATCCTCACCGTTCCTCCTTCAGTCGACTAGAAGGTCCGGAATACTCCATCTTTATGTCGTTGATATACCACCTATTCGCACTACGCACTCTCTACATCTCTACATCTCGGCATCTGTGTTTCCCGAAAAGTTTGTGGCTATTCAAGGCCTGAGTGAACGGGGATTTTTTAGACAAACGCGTACCATCGTTGGTCACAACGTCGCTTAACATCTGGTGAGACTGTGGCCAAGCGTAAGTCTATTATATATTTTTTGAAAATTGCCAATATTTATTGAAATCGGTTAACGGAAAGTGGTCGAAATCCAATAAACCGGATCCATCCCGTAATTTGCAACCCTTGGAGGTGGAATATTTCCTTCAAATTTTAATGGGACCACTACCAGAGCTCCGTCACTCGCTCGAGGTTAGCACTTATCGCGCTCAGCAGTACACACTCATCATACACTCAGCAGTATGCACTTATCGCGTAAAATAAGTGCGTACTGCTGTTTGAATCGCCGGTAGTGCAAGCGCTCAGACAAGTTTTTTATTTACATTACAATCCTTGTACTACCCCAACATTCGGTTCCGCACGACTGCACCCGGCGGGCAACGTTATTTTCACCGTGTTTTCACCTCTTTGAGCGCGTGCTTAGGTTGCTTTAACCTCGTAGTTCGCGCCTGGTGTCGTTGGTCAGACTAAGTGGGCAGTCTGTGGTCCCCATCCAGTCAAGTCAAATGGATTTTTCTCTGTGTTTGTTTCATCTTTGCATCAGTAATAATAATAAAGTAGTGGAGTATTTTCACGCAAAATAGATGAATATCATGGTTGTAAAAATATCATGATATTCAATAAAATTATTTTTATTTTTTTACCTCTTCTTAGACATTTTAGTGTTCAATACTCAATATTTTATTGCAGAACCATAACATATACAATTACATTTTAATAAAAAAGAAAAGACCTATATTATGGACCCCGTCGGGCACGCAATTCAAGGGAAAGGACAGAGATAATTATATACCTCTCTAGAAATTTTACTTGAAATTTAAGTAAATATACTCCATTTCGATATCTGCTAGATAGTTCACTGCGATATGATAACATTTGTTTCTTTTTATCATATCACAAGTTTTTTTCATGTTGTATTTCCCCGTTTTGTTCCGGCTCAAACACTAACTCTGAAATGCCAAATTAAAAAAAAGAGCTGTTATACACATCGAGTATATAACCCGTAAAGGATGGAAAAAAAGTCTACGATATAACCAGAAATAGAGTCGAAATGACTTTTATTTTGTTTGAAAACTATTGTGCCATATCATTAATGTGACAACTTCGCTCCGATTGGTCATCTCAAATTCGAAACAATTGACGGGTGTCGTCAATTGTTTCAAATCGATCAGTTAACTTGAGCTTTGCTATAATGGACGATAATTGCAAAATTACATATTTAATACTTAATTACCGATGAAATTTGATTCCGTTTGTTTTCTAATTAGAATTTCTAATATTTTGCTGTTTTCCCCACACCACCGATTGGAACAGTACGCCATTGTTAGAGAAGATGTTTATTACAATAAATACAGAACATTTTTAAAATACACGGAGAACTACACACACGTCAGTTGTTGGCGCAGTCTATATTTCAGTACAAACGAGCGTTGATATTTATAAGTGATGTATCACTGATGAGATACCAGGAATGTATGACCTTATTTCATCTCTATTTGTGGTTACATACTCGATGACTTAATAGTGCCGTCATAATAACACACTAAGAACTGTGTTTGTCTTCTCTTTTCCACGCACGGTACCGCCTATTTTATCATCTAATATTCCTTCTATTTACAAATGCGTAGACTTATAAAAAAATTATATATATATTGTAATATTGACATACATTTCACTGATAATTTCATTAAAAAGTTTTTTCCATCTCAGATTCCTTTTTGCCGCGGTAAATTGTCTGGCACAAAATGTTCACAAAAAAAATGTATAAGCCATCTATCTACAAACAAAGAGACCTTTGTTTTTTTATAGGCAAACGGAGATT